CCGGCAGCATCCAACAAGTCTGCAGACATCAGGGAAAAGTGTGCAGGAAATTTTCTTAGGACTGCCCAGCAGTGGTCAGGCTCCCGAAGCTGTGACATCCCCAACACCCCCGGCAGCACACTCAGCCACCAAACCTCCCTCTGCTCCATCTCCCCGCCATAAATCACTGCCCTGCATTGGCCGAGGACCTTTTAAAAAGGATTTATTAGGGGGGATTTAAGCACAGGCAGCCATACGGTTTCATAAATCGAAAGGCAATAGTGCTGATCGTTACCGGTTGGCTCGGGGGGACACCCCTGCTCCCCCCGTTCCCACGGCCCTGTACCAGCTCCTCCCCGGCACCGCCGCCTCTGCCGCTCCCCTTCCTCCAGTCTGTGGAGACTGCGAGTGTGGAAAATCCCCAGACAGGGAGTGTAAATGCTTGTTCTTTGTAAATGAAGAACATAATTAACATTAAATTAAGGTAATACAAATGAAGACAACACAGAGCCTGACAGGATGAGTGTTTGGGGAGGCAGTAGAGAGAAGTGATTCATATTTTTAATTTACTGTACAAATAGACTAGCAGGGCTGGGGGGAAAAGGGCCATCCAAGTGGAGTGGGGATTTTTTTTTTTCCCACTGTTGTTTTGCTGTGCTTTAAGCACACAATGACTATTAAAGTCAACTGCCCATATAATAGGACATCTCCTACATGACTGCTCTCTGAGAGGCAGCTTGCTGTAGCAATAAATTCTGGGAGTGCCATCTGCTGGTGTGCACCCTCCACCGGGCACCCTTGCTCCGGCCACCCAGCCTGGACTAGTCCTGGCGCCCCACCATTGCTGCAGAGACCTGCAGAGCACCAGCCACAGGCCTGCAGGCATCCATATATTTCCATGCAGTAAGAAACACTTTCCCCCACCCAATTGTAAGTATTTTTCATTATATATATATTTTTTTTTTCTGAGGTTGATGCCGGGGGAATAATTGAGGCTTTTAAAAGATACGAATCACTGTTCTCCACCCCTCTGAAGTGCTGGGTTTCAGCTGAGTGCCTATTACCCAGAACAGAGTAAAAAACCCACCCATTTTAGATTTTTACCTGCAGAAAGACTGTTGATCAGAGTCCATGAGAGCTGCAGGCTGGACCTGGCTCTGCACTTTAAGGAGATGAGCTGTGGTCTCAGCCTGGGGAGTCCCCACAAAGGGATGACTTTCCGTGAGGAGGGAGCCAGGTTTATCATAGCACAGAAGTGTCCATGGGGCTGTGACACCTGGAATGGACACACCTGCTTCTGTGTCCTGTTCCATTCCCTGGGAAACTCCTGACACCATCAGGCAAAGAAAAAACAGGAGAAGGTTCCAAGAGGTCCCATTCCTTAATGAAATCCCCCTTCCCAGCTAGAAGATCCCCTGGAATGGTGCTGAAAGATTCCTCTGCTGTGTCAAAACAGGAGAAGAATTTTCATCTTTCGCCAGGGAGGGGTGGGTGAGTGGTGTCCTAATTTTGGGTGTGCCATCTTTTCCCTCTGGGTGGCTTGTATCCTGGCAGTTATTACTGTGAGCAGTGCTCATGGGTCCAGGGCAGCCACTTGGCCAACTTGCCCTTGAACACTTCCAGGGATAGGACATCCACGATTTCTCTGGCAACCTGTGCCAGTGCCTCACCACTCTGACAGCAAAAAATTTCTCCCTAATATCTGATCTAAACCTGCTTTCTGCCAGTATAAACAATTCTGCCTTGTCCTATCACTACATGCCCTTGTACCAAGTCCCTTCCCAGTTTCTTGTAGCCCCTTTATTCAGTGAAACCTCCCCAGAGCCTTCTCTTCTCCAGGCTAAACAACCTAAGCCATCTCAGCCTGTCTTCATAGGAGAGCACTCTGAGCATCTTCATGGCCTCCTCTGGACTTGTTCCAGCAGGTCCATGTCCTTCTTGTGCTGAGGACCCCAGGGGTGGATGCAGCATTCCAGCTGGGAATCACTGGAGTGTTCTAGAGGGACAGAATCCCTTGACCTGTTGGTCACACCTCTTGTTATGCAGCTCAGGCTATGATTGGCGTCCTAGGCTGCAGGTATGGATTGCAGGGTCATGTCAGACCTCTCATCCACCTCCAAATCCCTGAATCAGTCCCTGAACCCCTGGAATACATCCAGGGCCCAGGCTGCAAACACGGGGTCTATTTACAAACAGAGCTAACCCAGGCAATGCTCCCTGTGTCCGGTGCCCTTCTCCCACGGCTGCTAAACTGGGAGCATGAACAATCTTAGTGAGACAAGAGGCAGGAACAAATTCTGCACCAACCTCTGTGGGGCAACAGGGTGCTGTCCCAGAGCCGCTTTTCCCACATGGAATAAGAGAGGAGGTGGAGCACACAGGAACCTACCTCAGTCAAACCGGGCCCTGGTGGAGGCTCCGCAGCCAGCTGAGATTTGTGGGGAGTGAAGGCATCCCCATTGTGGTGACAGGGATGGTTTGCTGTTAGAACACCTGGTGAAACCAGTGTGAGAAGGGTTCAGCCTCAAAGGCTTGGTGGGCCCCCTGGAGCCCATCTCTGCTGGAGCCATGGGGACTGAGGGGACTAGCAGGGTATGAATGCTCTGTGGCTTGTCTGACCATGGTCTGCAGCCACTTGTGGCCTCACCAATCCCCAGTGATTGCACAGGGACACCAGGGTGTGTCCAGCAAGCCTTAATCAGCTTTCCACTTGGGATGTGACCATTCACCTTGAGCCAGGTGAGCTCCTAGACAGCTTCCATGAAGGATCTGCAGATATCCAGTGATGGGCCATGACCATTTCCTTGAGGATCTCCATTCAAAGCATCTGGAGAGTTTGAACCAGGGTCTTCTCTCCCATTCCACATTGTCCTGGGCTGAGCCCCAGCCCTCCATGTGAATACCTCAGCACTTGAACCCACCCACCCTTTAGCATCAGGAGAAGGCACTTGTGCATTTGGAGAAAACAACCTTCATTTCTGCAAACCTTAAGAGGATCAGCAGCATTTCCAGGTGTCCAAGTAATTTCTCAGAATCTTCTTTGCACCTTCTCCAGTCTTTCCAGATCTGCTTGGACACTGCTAGAGAATACAGCCTTATCCTCATCAGACAGAACCAGTGCTTTTGGGGGTGTCAATCTAGGGAACTGGATTTTGTCATTTTTGTGGAAAAGCAGCTCAGAGCTCACCCAGCCATATCCTTCCTGAGAAGCCTGCAGTGGAGCAGCTGGGAATGCCTCCCTGGCAAGACAAGCAGAGAGGAAGCCCAAATCCTTCTTTTGCAAAAGTACCAGGTCAGTGGCATGGGACAGCTTGAACTACAACCCAAAAGAAAAAAAAGTCTTGCCCCAGTAGCCTCAGAAAAAACTGATGAGTTGCTGGTGTTCTGTGAGCATGGGGGTTCCTCTACCCCCAGGCCCTGATGGAAAAGAGGATGGACATGCCCTTGGACATGGTACCCTCAAATGAATCCCCAGGAACAAATGCATCCAAAAGGCACCAAAGAATTTTGCCAGTGACCCCCCAGTCCTTGGAAAGAGGGCATTTCTGGCTCTGGTGGCATCCAAAATCCTGACAGAAATGGGTCCTGACCCCACATTGCCCAGGTCTGCCCCATCTCACTGGCCACTTAGAGCAATCCTTGGCCATAAGGGAACATTCCAACTCATTGGCTGTGCTAGAACCACAGGAATGGGGGCTGGTCCCTAGGGGGCCATTGCTTCCCACATGGAGGGCAGGGGGCATCCTCCAAGCTGCCCCACATGCTGGGTGGGAGAGATAGATAAATACCAGAATAAATAAATACAAGTGGCAAAGAGGCCTGAAATGATGCTGTCGTTTGCTGGGAATGAGAGACACAAGTGTAATTTAGGTTTTGATATTATCAAAGTCTCGCTGCTCTAAAACAGCAGGGCACTCAGTGCCTCATTAATAAAGGATAAACTTGGAGTCTATTTACAATGCACTTTTTGGGGTTATTTACACTCCATTATACATATGTAATGCTGCACATATTTACCGCTCTGTTCTGCTGCCGAGAGCAGCCGAGTCGGGAGGGAGGCGGAGTGGGAAGCGGCTGATGCTGCGGAGCCGTGACCCTGCTCTGACTGGTGTCCTTTAAACGGCTCAAGATGCAGGAGAGCCCTAAGCTGGGGGCTGAGGAGGGAAGGGATAGGACCAGGCACTGGGGTCCCAGTATGGCCCGGTCCCTGTCCCCATAGGTGCAGCACCCACACGCACCCGGAGGCACCCTGAGGCTTTGCCAAGGGATGCAGGAAGGGTGGGCTCCTCACTAAGAGACCTCAAACACCAAACACCAACCTGTGGACCTGTCATGGAGAGGGAAACCAGAAAAAAAAAAAAGAGGCTAAATTATTTGCAACAAAATGATGTTGGTGTTGGCATGAGAGTGTTTTGGCCACATAGCCCTCCCCACCACCTGGGCTTATCTCTTACTGGAACAAAATGTGGTAGTTTCCCTGCAAGAACAGCTCCTGGAGGGTCTGGGAACCCCACGGTCTACCACGGTATCTGTGGGAGCTGCTGTGGAGGGGTCCTGGGACACAGGACAGCCTCTCCCTCCAACACAGGCCCCAGGATTCACAGCAGAGACATGGGAGAGGTCGTGCTTGGAGAGCACCTTGGGGTCACAGCAATTCATGGGGTGCAGTAAGGGGATGAGGGTAAAACCTGGATCCCTCTGTCCTCCAGAGAGTTTGGGAGTGTGCAGTGTTCCCATGGGAGCACTCTGTGGGGCCAGCACATGAGGCTTCCAGCAGTCTGTGGAGGGGCACAGTGGCTGGACTGTCACCCCCAGCTCAGAGCTGCTCTGTGTCCCTTCTGCAGCAGCATCCAGCTTTACACAACCAACTTGGGGTGAGAGGCAAGAGCCTGGGAGACATCCTGACCACCCTTCCTAGAAAATGTGGGGTGACTTTGACCTTTCCAGCCAGCCACAGTGGGGAGGAGGACAAGCCCCTCTTCCCATTCTGCTCATCCCTGGTACTGGAGAGGCACCTGCTCATTCCAGCACACACCTGCTTGCTGCCATTCCAGGCTAAAATTGCCAAACAATGGCGTTGGTGGCAATGCTCTTTATTAACAGCTCATGCCAGAAGCTCTTGCCAAGGCCCTGCATCCAGGAGCATTGAGCACCCTTGCCTCAGGATGGTTCCCTTGTCTCTGTGGGGGCATCTCTTCCAGCATGGGGGTCATGCCCAGCAGTCACTGCAGCCTTGGTGCATCAATAGGGCTCATTGTGGGCACAGATTGTGCCATGGAGAGATGTGCTGGGAGACCCAGCGGTGACTGGGTTGGAACAAATTGGCCCCCACATCCTTCCCCAGGCCCAAGCCTCCTCCACCATCCCCATTGCCCCCAGCACACTCAGATCAGGGCAGGCTGGAGCCTGAGCCCTCCAGGGAGCTGCTCTCCAAAGTCCCATAGCCATCGAGCTTCATCATCCCAATGAGATGGGCTGGGACAGAGAGGACAGAGCGGCGTGTGGCAAAGATGTGGCTGATCTCCATGAAGGTTTTGTTCTTGGTCTCAGGGATGACAAGGTAGACGTACAGGGCCACCAGCAGGCAGACACCACAGAAAACCAGGTAGCAAAAGGCACCGGCTGACATCTGGGGACAAAAGCAGGATGAGGCAGAGAGCCAGGCACTCCCAAACTGGGCATGGCACGAGGCAGTGCCCCCTCCCATCAGCCTGCCCTGGGCTGGCTCTGTCCAGCACTAAGCTGAGCCGTGAGCATACAAATCCCTGACTTGGCACCCCATCCTGGGAGAGCAGCAGGGCTGTGTCCATCCCCTCCCTCTCCCAGGCCCCTCTGAACTGATACCTGCAAGAAGGGGAAGATGAAGCCGACGGTGAAGTTGCAGAGCCAGTTGAGAGAGCCCCCCACGATGTAGGCAGCTGGGCGGTGTGACTGCATGAAGAGCTCAGCTGTCATCAGGAAGGGGACACCAGCTGCAGAGGGAGGGGACAGATTAAGGGTATGGGGGACAAGCTGGGTCAAGTACCCCTGGGTCAACACCTTCTGCCCAGGTCAGTCCTGTGGCCAAAGGGCTGGAGGCCAGCAAGACTCATGGTTCAAACTGGTGGTGCTGGGAGAGCTGGAGGAGACAGGGAGTGTGGGGGAACAGTGTCCTACCCTTGGTGTCCTTTGGGATATGCCTTGGGGTGGGTGATGTCCCCCTGACATACCACACTGGCACATTACGGGGTGCTCAGGCCAGCTCCCCAAGTTGCATGACTGGAAAGTTTCAGACTGAGTCAAAATAAAGGTGGAACATTTCACGTGGATCCTCGTCTTCCAAAAATCTTTCTAAATGCTGATATATTAAATCTCAGAGATCACAGGCATAGAGAAATATCTTCCTGGCACTCTCCATAATGCCCTTTCCAGACTCCCTTGATCAAAGCAGTTTAGAAAAATTCCTTTTATTAATCATCTTCTGTTGCCACTGTGGCTGATTTGGGGAGGAAAGAAGCAAACACTTTTCTGAACATCAGAATCTCCCACAGGACACAGAAATGCCATTCTCCAACCTGCTTTTCCCATGTATGGTGAAAAAACCCAGAATGTATGGAAGTGGTTTCCCAAGCCAACTTGCAAGTGGTCTGAAAACTGGATAAAGGTTGTGGCTATTTCTTCTAGAAGGACTCAGCATCTCCAGCCAAGTGTCACTGAGCCAGAAGTCCTGAGTCCCAGGGCTGTCCCTGTGTTGGGGGGCAGGATCCGAGGTCCAGAGTACATTCCAAGACACACAGAAATCTGGCAAGGGATTGTATTTGGTATGGTGACATGGCTGGGGTCCCAATTGCCTGGAACAGGGCTGGCTGGGCCTCTTTATAAATGCAAGGAAAAGATGAACCAAAAACCAAGTGTAAGAAGTGAGGGAGGAGTGGAGCCCCTGACGGACTCTTACTCACAGCTCGCCCAGAACAGAGATATATATTTTTTTGTTTTAAAACTCCTATTCATCATTGTTTGTGAACAATGAGCCATTAAAATCCTAATTAAAGATGTAATTACAGTGAATAAAGTCTGGGCTGAGGATGAATTATAGATCTGTTAAGAGCTCTGCTAATACATCAACTGGGTAAACCAGTCCAGGTTTCACTCCTGGCTGTTGGAGCCTGCACTTGATTAGGGGCAGGATGATTCTCATCAGTTGCACTGTGATAGGAGTGGTGACACCTCCATAGAGGTCTGGAGAAGGCTGCCAGGGCTTTCACTCTGCTTCCTCCTGGAGGAATGGCCAAGGAGGAAGAGGTAGAGTGTGCCCTGGGGATGTGTGGGGCTGGAGGTGTTTGTGGTGGGGTTTCACTTGGAAGTACAGCATCATAAACCAGGGCCTGACCACGGGGACAGGGCCAAGGCTTAGGTCCTGTCACCTGCCTGCAAACCCTGCTGGTCGCCTAGAGCCCCCATTCCCACCCTGTTGCTCCCCATTGCCCCAGCCCCAGACCCACCTGGTCCCATGCAGAAGCCAGCGATGATGCCGACCACGCAGGCAACGCTGATGTAGCGCATCCAGGGCAGGGCGGCCTGCGAGGGGACACTGGGCTGGGGATGCTGCTGGGGGCTGCTCCTGAGCTTCACACCCCACATCCCTGGGACACGGCTTTGTGCCTGCCCTTGGCTTGGTGGTGGCTCTTGAGGACAGTGGCCACAAAGGACACATTGGTGAGATGCAGACAAGCAATGGTTTGGGGTGAAGCAGGTAAGGGTCAACCTCAGCCAAGCTCAGCAGCTCATGATGGAGCAGTATCCCCAGAGCCATGGGAGCATCCTCTGGAAGCTCTGGAAGACAGCAGGAGAAGGACCCTCCACCTGCCTTGGCATTTCAAAGCTGCCTCCCTGTGAATAACTGTTTCTGAAAAAAAGCTAACAGGAGCAGCAGGATTTTTCTCATATGGATTTGTGTTTTCTTTTTCTTGTTGTTCTTGGTGCTAAATTTGCCTTCTCTTTAACTTTGAAGGGAAAACATGACTTGGTAGAGCCAGCTCACCTCTCATTTCCATGCACGCTCCTTCCCCCAGGATTCTACCCATCCCTCCACCACGGAGCCCCAGATAATGGCCCAGGGGGTGGCAGTGGGCAGGGCCTACCTGCAGCAGCAGGGAGATGGTGATGCCAGCCGAGCAGACACCCATGGCACAGAAGCCGGTGATGATGAGGGGCCGCCGGCCCACCCTCTCGATGGTGAAGCACTGCCAGGAGGGAGCAGAGACTGACTGGATGTTGGGGAGCTCCAAGGTGGATGGGACCACCCCTGAACCCCAGATCCAGCTGAAGGTGGGGAGATGCTCCTGATGGCATCTAGGGATCAGGGACAACTCTAGCTCAGAGTTCCAGGGTTGGGGCTGAGGCATGGGAAGTGCCAGGTGTGAGCGTGCATGGGGCAGGAGATGGGTCCCACAGAGCATGGTTGGGGCTGGCTGGGGTGATCTGGAAGCCACATTTGCATCAGTGCCAGGAGGAGGTGCTGGGGCATGGGGTGTTTGAGGGGCAGTGGGCACAGCAGGGCATGGGCAGACAGTGCAGCAGCAGTGGGAGCAGGCAGGGTATTGACAGCAGAACAAATGCCTGTAATTTTATAACCAATCTCGGCATGTCCATCGGGGGCCATTTGTGGGGCTGCTCCCAAGCAATCTGGCTCTATGCTGGGCCACTGCTGGGGGGCTGGGACACCCCCACAGACTGGGGAAGGGAGAAGGGGGTACCCTTCAGAGAGGCAGGGGACCCCACTCTGCTCTAGATTGGGCTATGGGAGAGAGGAGCAGCCCCCCACTCATTCCCTGTTTTCTGGAAGCAGCCACCCCCATCCATCTCTGTAATTGTCTGGGAGCAGATTTAGTGCCGGGTGGCTTGGGCTGGCCCTGGGTGACACTTGCAGACAGGACAAGGGCCATAAATCTGCCTGGCCCAGTGCTAACTCTCCAGCTAAATGAGGGCTGGCTGGGGTGGGGCAGGGCTGCTAGCCTGGAGCCAGGCCAGTGCTTGGCTGGGGGCAGGGGAAATGGGGACATGTGGTTCTGCTAACAGAGGGACAATGAAAGTGGGAGCTGGAAGGAACTTCTAGTCCCCTCCATCATCTCCAGCCTGGTCTTTGCCTGCCATCTCTACCCAACCTTCCTGCTACCCTAAAATTATCCCACCACTCCTAGATGTGACTCCTAAATTGAGCCTGTCTCTTACCATCTCCCATCCCCATTTCCATGCCAAATCATTTGCCCCCCAGAAAAGGGGCTATGTTGTGGCATGTATAATAATTGGGGGTCCACTCTGTCCCCTCTGATGGTGCTGGGAGCTGGCAGGAGGGCTCTGGCATGGAGGGTCTGTGTCCATCTGTCTGTCCCTCACTCACCCCGATCAGCCCAGCAATGACCTCGATGGCGCCGGTGCCCATGGTGGTGTAGGGGATCTGGGACACGGGGATCCCGGCATTCTCGAAGATGGTGTTGGTGTAAAACCAGATCTGCCGAGGAGGGGACACAGCATGAGCTGTGGGATGGAGCCACGGGGCACAAGATGAAATGAGCTGCCGGGTCTTAGCTCAGCATCTGCAGAGCCGTGTCCCGGGGCGAGGACCATGCGGGGCTTACGGCATCGATCCCCGAGAGCTGCATGCCGGCGTTCACCACCGCCACCGAGAGCGTCTGCCAGCGCACGGAGCGGTCCCGCAGCAGCTGCCAGACCGACACCATCTCCATGGAGGAGAGCGACCGCTGCTCCTCCTTCATCTCCTTGATCACATCCTGTACATCAGGGGTCCCCAGGAATCGGTGCAGTGCTGTGGGGAGAGCGGGGCCATGGACATGTGTTTCCAGCACAGGGTGGATGCTCAGGTATGGCACAGGGTAGGGGCTGGCCCAGCCTCCCCAGCAGCCTCCCTGCTGAGGCTCAGCATCCACAGGAAATGGAGAAAAGCCTCAGAGCACAGTGCTGGGCACCATGGAAATGCTGTGGCACAGCCAGGTGGGACAAAAGGGCTGAAGCATCAGGACTGTGGTGGGCTGTCAGGTATGGGTAGGGATGAATGCCATGAGAATGCACCTAGGTCTTGGAAGACCTTGGAGAAGCACCCAGCCCCTTATTCCTGGAGCCAGTCTCACCCCTCACCTTTGGTGGCCCCACAGACGTCGTTTCTCTCTATCAGCAGGTACCGAGGGCTCTCAGGGAAGCAGTGCAGCAGCAGAAGCTGAAGGGAGGCAGGAACAACCACCACTGACAGGAAAAGGGGCCAGAATCTGTCCTGAAAGGAATTGAAATGGGATGTGTCATGGGGAGGGCAGAGCAGCATCCAGCATGTGTGGGCTGGGGTATTGTGCTCACCTTGCCCAGCAGCTCTGGGAGGCCCAGGACCTGGGCAGAGAAAACTCCCAGGCAGATGAAGATGCTGGGCATGAGGCCCAGGAACCCCCGCAGGTTCTTGGGAGCGATTTCTCCCAGGTAGAGGGGCACCACACTAAGACAGATACCTGGGGGGCACAGGAGAGACTGGGATGGCAGAGGCAGTAGGGAGAAGGGTACCTAGCCAGACCCTTGGTCCATCTGCACCCATGCCCAGCATCATCCACAGCGGGGACCCCATGGCCTTGGAGGTGGCCCTGGCTGTACCAGAGAACCCCTCCAGAGAGCCTGTGGGGAATACAAAGCTTTCTCCATTCCCCTAGGAATGGCTGTAGGGGAGTGAGCCATGAGGAAGAGGCTGAGCACAGCCCAGGAAGAACCCACCTGAGTGGAGCCCCGTGATGGAGCGGCCGATGATCACCATCTCGGGGGATCCCAGCTCCCGGCTGAAGCTCATGAAGCCGCCGGCCAGGAGGACGAGGAGAGCACTGCGGCTCAGAGCACCATTCCTGGCAGGCACAAGCAGCAGGGCAGTTCCTCCAGTCCCACCCCACCTCCAAACCACCCTGGCCCATGGTACTACACCCTGCCTTACCTGCCGTACCGCTCCACCAGCACCCCCACCAGCAAGGAGCCCACCAGCCCACCCAGGGCGAAGATGGAGACAGTCAGGGCATAGAGGAGAGTCAGGGGCCCGGGGGCCAGCCCGTGTCCGTACCGCTGGGACCATGTGGCGTTGTAGAAAGCTTTTATGTGCTGCATGGCAGAGACACACACAGGCACCAGATGTGTTGGCAGAAAGGGTAAGGCAAGGGAAGACAGGATCTATAGGGATGATATCATGGGTTTAACAGCACTAAAGGAGATGCAGGGCAGAACATGCTTGGGGATGACTGGGATGTGCTGGTCTGGTTGCTCAGCAAGTCTCAGCACCTGAGAGGCCTAAGGATGACTTAGAGACCACAGACAGTGCTCAGACTGGAGCAGGGAGGTTGTGGCCAGCTTTCCAAGCACTGCTTTCCCGGGGGGACCAGTTTGGTGTACATGAACATGTCCCTCCCATGCCACTCCTCTCTGGGTGACTGCTCAAGGAAAGTGCCAGTGTTCTGATGTGGGGCTGCTGGACAGCTGTCCCTCCACCCTCCAAGGGAGGGATGCAGAACCATTTTCTCTGCTCCCAGAGAGGCTGCCCATCCCTTACCTCTGCCGGTGAGTTCACCACAGCAAGGTTGTAGCCATAGAGCATGGAGGAGCCAAAGGATACCAGAAGGGTGACAGACAGCAGGGGGAAGGTGAGACGCTGGGAAAGAGGAGGAGGATCAGCACGGCCCTGGCCAGCAGAGCCAGGAGCCAAGGTGTCATGACATGCCCCTTTTCCAGTAGGGATGACCCTGGCCCAGAGCAAAAACCCCAGTGTGATGGAATCCTGTGTTGAGCACTGCTTCATGCCAGTGCCCAGCACCCAGCCCAGCTGACCCAGCTTCCTCGTGGCTGGTCTTGTGGCTGTGGTGTGAGGCTTTCACAGCGGCAGTGACTCTGCCTGGGTAACCCGGGCACCCCTGTGCCCAGCTGGGAGGGGCAGCAGATGGAAAGGGGCAGGTGGAGAAAGGAGGGACACCCATCCCCATACCTTAATGGAGCAGCTGAATGGTGCTGCCGTCAGTGGCCCAACACCACTGAAAGGTCCCCGTGGAAAGTCCTGGCCCACCCCAAAATGCCACATGGACCCACCTCCTAAACCCTCACCCTCTCCAGGACCTTTGTGTCCCCCTCCAGCTGCTGGGGGTCCTCACTGCGGGGAGCCGGTGGCTGCGGGGGAACAGCCACCCTGCAGCTCTGACCCAGCCCACCCCAGGATCGGGGTGTTCAGGAGCATTCAGAGCACCCCCAGCTGCAGGGACATCCCTGGGTGCTGCATCCCGGAGCAATTAATGTCCCCGGAGCGACGGGGCTTGCAGGGCGCGGGCATGGGACGATTCTGCGCCCCCCGAGCAGCCCCG